CAGACGCGAACTGTATATATTCAGATTGTCTTAAACACATATTATAGTAAATACATAAACAGATTACATGTCTTGCTGCATCATTATAGTAAATACATTTGATCATAAAATTAAACTCGGGAATATTTCATAAAATGAATTAGTACGGTGAGAAGTCCAATCAACCGCGTTTTCATGTAATTAAGGATACGATCAACTTCAATTAGCCATATGGTCACATACATAGGTTGTGTTTAAACTAAAGTAAGAGTAGCCATTAGCCCATTACATCATGGGATACGATATATAGGAGTGAAAGATCACGTACCATTGATACTGATTACTCAGTAGTGATGTGACACATTAAATTATTGGATGTTGGTTCCTTATACAGATACATTTGACACTTTGACATGGCTAGAGAAATAAAGACAAACCAGCTAGATATTGCTATCTATAGGGCGGGAAACCCTGCCCATAAAGCACCCATAATACTAGCCACATAACCCGCACAACTTTATCCATATGTTAGCCTGAGAAGTGATAGAGACATGATTTTATTCCAACAAGAAATGCCCCAGATCATTCACAGATTTAAAGCCCAAAAAGAGATACAATTCACGGTTAACCGGAGAAGTACGATTTTATATATAATGTAATATTTTACCTATAAGTAAGGAGATAATTTTATGAGTTTTATAGCTCTTATATGATTATAATAAAAAAAAATTCTGCAACAATATTAAAATACGGTTTTATATATTGACATGTTTTTTTTTTTTTTTTTTTTAAAATGAGACCCACTTGTTTATATTTACTGCACACAATAAAGTTTTGCAGCGACGACAGACATGCAAAGCTCTAATTTTTATTTTTTTTTGGTAAGCTAAGCCCTACTTTTATTTACTCAACTAGCATGAAAGTAAGTGATTTTTTTCCTCCCTCTTCTCAAGATAGTCTCGTCCACTTTTATATAAGAATAAGAAATAACACTATCTTCATCTAGAAAAAAAATATTATTTAATCCATTAAAGAATGCATCATTTGCAAAGAGTTTTGTATTCCCGTAACATTCTAACACGAATATATATGTGATAGTTTTTTTTTTACCACCATATGAAAGTAAAACATGAGTATCGAAATTCTTATTTTTACCTTCTTTTAACCTCTTATTTTCTCTTTTGTACTTCTCTAATTTCCTTTCTTTATATTTTTTTCTTTCTATTTGAATTTTGAATAAAGAAATAGTTGTCACCAAATTTAGGTCAGATGGTTAGTTTGTATTAGGAATTAATTAAGAATACGCCATAGGTTAAAGTGATGGCAATGAATCACAAAGATGGACCAAAGAAGGACTTCAATCATGGGAAGATGCTGAAAGAAGACAAATTGTGATGGAATATGGCCAAATTAAGGTCATGCGTGGATCCGGGACGAATGAGGACAATGGAGTGCATGCGATGTACAACTAATTAAAACTTTGGGTGGCGCCGGTCCTTCATTCATGGCTGAACTTTTGGGATTTTGAAATGACTGAAAATTATTTGGAGTATGGGATATAGACAAGTAAAGGGATACTTGAAAGCAATTCTAAGGTCAAAACAAACTATGATTCCAAAGGGTAAGACTCAAGGTGTTGTTCACCAGATGCAATCTTGCTTTCTTCTTCTGTCTATAGGGAAACCAACGTCAATCACATGAATTCAAGAGTTTGATATAGTTTAGCAGCGAGTCAGTTAGACTTAAAAGATGTTTTTTTGTTTTTGAGTTAACTAGCCTTAAATTAATTTTTTAAGGCGAGTTAGCTCCGTTCGATATCCTCACAAACTTACTATTTGAGCCGGCTATGAGACTAATCTTGAGTGTGTGACGGGTCAGGAATAAACATGTTTAAACACCTTTAAAGGTGGCATGTAAAGATCGAAATATAATTCTTAAGAATTTAATTTGACCAAAAATAGTATATTTAATTCTTAAGAATCGCAATTCTTAAAAAAGATGAAGATGCTTAAACTCGAAATCAAATCCATTAAAATTTTAGACACCCATTGATATCTAAACATTAAATTTAATGAAACTTAAAAGAAAAGTGTGTGTGTATATATATATATATATATATATATATATATATATATATATATATATATATATATATATATAGGGAAAGGATCCATTTACAATTTTTTTTTTACACTAATTAAGAGTGTATGACCGGTCATGTTTAGGGTAATTTGTAAAAAAAATTGTAAATGGATCATTTTCTATATATATATATATGGAGTAGGATTCTTTGACACTGATCTGAGAGCTGTTAGATCAAAAAAGATTAATAGTGTCACATGCTTACATATCAGAGTTGTTGATCTTTTTTGATCTAACAGCTCTCAGATGAGGTGTCAAACTTTAAATTTGACACTGATGTCAAAAGATCTGACAACATTTCTACAACCACTTTAGATAAAGTTGTTTACAACTACCATTTTTTAACTAAATCTGACCATTAAGATATAAAAATTAAATTTTCTCTCTCCGCCACGTAAGCTGACAATGTCTGAGAAGAGAGAAAAAAAGAATAGTTTTATAGTTATAACTATGTCTTACTGGTCAGACTTAGTTAAAAGGGGCAGGTATAAATAATATTATCTAAAGTGGCTGTAAAAATACTTGTTTTATATATATATATATATATATATATATATATATATATATATATATATATATATGAGGAGAGATATTCTTACTACCAAAATCTTCTACTACTAACTCACTACCTATCTAATCACCATTGGATTAATATTTTCTCCTTTTCCAAAAACATTTTAGCATTTTCTCTCTTTAATTCAATGGTGATTAGATATGTAGTAAGTTAGTAGTAGAAAATTTTGGTAGTAAGAATATCCTTCCTCTATATATATATATATGGGAAAACATTTTCTCATGTCGTAGGAGAGTTATTCTCTCCTACTAGTGACCCTTCGATTTTCGTGCAATATTTTCTTTTGCTTTTTTATTTTTTTAAACATGAGAAAATTTTCTCCTAGCATGAGAAAATCGAAACCCTATATATATATATATAAGCAGTGGCGGACCCATAAAAATTTGTTTGTGTCCGCATATTTAACGGCGGGGGTTCGGGGGCAGCGTCCCTAAAATTTTTTTTTGTAAAGAAAATTTAAATCAACGCTTGAACCCGCTCATAATTTAGTTGCTTACATAACAAGCTGCAAACAATAGTTTAACCAATTATTTCCTCCCCTAAATCTTACTAATCCTTCAAAACAAATATGAGAATATATTCCAGTATATCCATACATCATCATTCTATTTTATCGTGGTGAATACAAAAGTCAACACTACCTGTACAGAAGGCAAGCAAAATCACAGTGAAGACCTCGTCTCTAGATATTAACTTATTTGAGAATGTCAGATTTGCAATCAATCCTCTCTTTTTATAAAAATGAAAAAGGAAACAAAGGATGAAAAGAGCATGGGAATGGGTACGTAACGGGGGAGGAAGAATAAGTTTTCTCTGTAATCAATTTGCGTTGCTACGTTGTTTTAATCATCTCCGTATGTTGCTACGTTGTTAACTAATATAAGAATAAATATCCTTTTTGGTTCCTAACAAAAAATTCGGTCCCCACTTTAGTTTATTATAAAAAAAAATTAGTCACTTGGTCCCTTTGAAATTCAAAGTGGATCTGTTTTGGTCTTTTTGAGGGACTAATGTAGGTTTTTTTTTGAATTTGTGAGGGGTCACAATTTTAACTAAATTGATCCACTTTAAATTTTTCAGGGACTTCGAGACTAATTTTTTTGTGTGTAAGGAACTAAAATGGGGACCATATTTTTGTTAGGAACTTAAAATGATATTTACTCATAATATATATATTGAACCAAGAGACAAATAAAGACCTACAACCAGGAAAAAAAAACTGAAATAAAAAATTTTATAACCGCACTTGCGGGCATTTGCCCGCAAGTGTGTCCGCCAGTGTATATAGGGAAATAGTTTTTTCATTTTACATGAGAAAATTTTCTCATGAGAAAATTAATTTCTATATATATAGAGAGTAATGAAGCTTACAAGTGAATTATAACACGTGACTCAAGATCATAAGTAAAATTAGTAATTGTTTAAAGACTTTTTAATATATAGGACTTGACCCTACTGAAAAGAACTTGCGAGAAAAACAACCTGTAAGATTAATTTAACACCTTAAAAGGTATTGGAAAATTTCCTAATTTATTAAAAAAACACAAAAACTTGTAAATCATGATGTGTGTCTTTCTTTTAGCCGCTTACAATTGTGTCACTGTCGTTATTCTTTTCACGTTATGAAAGCCACTTGTTCCAAAGACAATTTGTAGTAGATTATGGCAAGCAGAGATATGGATTTCCTCTTGCAATATATGTGAGAGCTTAAAGAATTTTGAATCATATATACTAGTACTATAAAGTGAAAAATTCATATTTTTTCCTTTTTTATTTAAAAATATATATAAGAAATTCACAACTCCGTGTAAACTAACTCATTTCATTTATTACTCAATTTTTAAAGTATTTTCAACCATGCACTTCAACATCTAGAGGGAAATAAAAATAATGGAATAAATATTTTTTTAAAAAAAAAACTTTATTACATACGGAGGAATGTGTAAGGAATCTACTTTAAATAAAGATTTAAATGAGATTCAACCATGGTTGACGTTAATGAAAAAACAATTGTGAAAAAGAGCAAATCTTGAATTTAAGAATCATGACTCAACATTTATATATCTTAGCTTGGTTACATGGTATAAGTGGGGTTCTACCCAGCACTTATAACATGACCATAAGATAGAATTCATATCATATGACATAAAAAGAAAGAGTGTAGAGCAGAAAACTAAAAGTGGATCCAAGAAGACATGGAAAGCTGCCACTATCTTCACAAACATCAGAGGCGAAAGAGAAAGAGGAAACAATAGATGATGACTTTGATGCATATGCATCTTCTTGGTGTTCAAATCAATCTGACATGTCTACTATGGTTTCTGCTCTAGCTCAAGTTATTGGGACTACCAATCGGAACCCAAACATGGCACAATCGACCTCGTTTCCTGTCTCAACTTCCGTGGTCAACACATCTCAACCTCTTCTAGATCAAGGTTTGCTTCTAATTTTATTCAATCCTAAACTGTCAAATTAAAATTAGCTGTCTTTTTCTATTTTTGTTTTCTTATCTTTTCTTGAATTTAGCATGCTTAACCTTTTAAAAGTTACATAAATTATCTTATAGTGGGTGTGTTATATATATGTGCTTTCACTCCAATTTGTGTTTTGTTTTTATTTTCTTTTTCAAAAAAAGGAACACACTTTCTTTATCTTTAAATTCCAGAAATGGTGGTGACGTAAGTAGTACTACTCATAGAATCTAATTTTTTGGTAATTGTAATACCGTATTCTTGTTGTGTTCTGATCTATTTATCATTGTTATTAAATTCAAACTAGTATATGCTAACTTCTGCCAGCCAAGAACAATGATCTATAATCTTTACTGTTAATATATATAATAATATATAGTATATCTTTGCCTTTAAATCTTTGCGTACATAGACAAATATATATCAAGTTATTCGATGATCCATATACCACATTAATGCAAAAAATTAACCTCAGCAGTGATATATCAAATAATTTATATGTTGCGCTCTTGATAACTTTCTGGAAAGTAAAAGTTATTTTTCAAAATAAATATATTCCAAACAAATTGTTATTAAGTCAAGCTACTTAATTTTCGTTGACTGTCTGATTTAAAGGCATGCATAAAGTAACTGAACAAATATAATAAATACAATTTCTAATACTGATCACATCACATTAAAAAAAAGTATTCAAACTAAGACCCCCACAAACTATACTAGGCACATGTGGACAAATATAAACCTTATATTATTATTATTATTATTATTATTAATTTTTTGGAAACTAACCTTAAATTAAAGTTGTCGTGAGATTTCTTCTTTCTTTTTATCTGCATAGCTCATCTTGTAACTTCTGGGCGTCCAAATAAAAAATATAAGAACTTCTTATATTCTTGATTTCACTGTTATTCAATTGTATTTTTGTGGCATATTTTCTGAGAAATTCACAGGAGGTATATGTGAATTCAAAAACTGTGCGACAAATTCCAAAGCTGCATGATACATCACATATATTTTTGACGCATTTGATTTCTATTTATATTTTATACATAGTACGTATGCGGAATTAATTATCTATGATATCTGTCTCAAGAGTCCAGAGTCCAATTAATCTTTCATGCTGTAAACATATAGGCATCATGTACATTCTCCTGTTAATTATATGAACCAGGGTATGGTGATAATTTTTGCGAGTTAGAAAACAAAAAAAACTGCACCTACCTACCTTAGCTTTGTTAAACCGATATTTACATTTCACACATACCCTAGTTTTCAACATCTTGTTTAGGTTTACGACTTTTCAACCTTTTTCCTATGAAAAGTGATGGTTGTTACAATTTTTTTTTTTTGTACAAGTAAAAGTTTAAGTGGGATTAGACACCGGTATTCCACTAGAGTTAGGGAAGATCCCCCAATCTTTTTGAGGATTTCTGGGAGGGATCACATATTACCCACCAACAAAGTCCTCACATTGGCCAGCGGAGTTTGAACCCACGCCTTTGAGGAGTATGAACCAAACCCTTTTGTTGGCGTTATTTTAACCACTGTTTTGAAATTGGTCAACTTCCTAAATAAGATACTCCACATAAATAATTGCGGATTCTGTGCAACCTAATATATTTTGATATTCTTCTTACTTACACAAAAATAATTTTAAATAACTCAATGGGTATAACTCGGTTGGGAATACATGCTCTGTAGATGGGGAGAGAATATGGATTTAATTTCCACAAAATATATTTTTGAACAGAAGTGATAATTAGCCTCAGAGTTAGTTCAAAGAGTTAAAACTTGTGGAATATTCAGAAAGCCGACTCTACTCAAAGAATTAATTAGATTACCCAAAAAAATATTTTAAAATCATCGATCATGGTCGATATTAATAATTTTACTTACTGGTATCACATATCATATCTTTCATTTTTTATTTTTTTTAAGATGTACCAATATGATGGCTGAAAAATGCTCTCAATCTACGTTCAGAGATGTGGAAAATTTACACATTAAAATGGACTATATGTAGAAAAAGCACAACTTACGCGGGACTAATTAACTTTGTTTTGTTTCCAAACATGCACTAATTAAATTGTAATGAAAGTAATTTGAGGTTGACCCTTCTCAATTGGTTTTGCATGTTTACAATATTGGTAATAGAGGTCACAAAGAAACCACACTACAGAGGAGTAAGACAGAGACCTTGGGGAAAATGGGCAGCAGAAATACGTGATCCAATAAAAGCAGCAAGAGTGTGGCTTGGAACCTTTGATACAGCTGAGGATGCAGCCATTGCATATGACAAAGCAGCACTCAAATTCAAAGGCACAAAAGCTAAGCTCAATTTCCCTGAACGAGTTCAACTCAACACTACTAGTACTCCTCAATCTCATGTTGGCTATGATCAGCTACTACAAGGTTCAGGGAACATAAACTTTTTTCCTTCTCATAACACTGCCACTAGTGCTAGTTCCACTCAACAAAGTGGATATGTTTCTTCTGTTGTTGATGTTGCTCCTCCTAGCTCTTTGTCCACCACACATGAAGAAGTACATGATCACCAAGTTTTCCCAAATCTGTTTCAATACGCACAGATTCTTTCCAGTGATGATGCAGAATTCCCTTATTACACGTCACATCTTTTCAATCAACAACAACAACAACAACAACAACAACAACAACAACAACAACAACAACAACAACAACAACAACAACAACAACAACAACAACAACAACCTTTCAGTTCTCAATTTTCTACCACTTTGTCTTCATCTTCATCACCCTCATCCTATTTCTACAACGATGGTCGGCAACAACAACAACATGATGAAGAAGGAAATCATCATTACCCAGACCAGTAGCTGAGTAGCATGTACTTGTCAGTATTGCTGTAGAAAGAGACAAGGATCAATGTTTCTTTCTTAATGGATCCCACAATTATTTTCAAATTTTTCATTATGAGGCATGCTCTGTAGGGATGACTTTTTTGGCGAATCTTGTTATTATTATTTTTAATTTAACCAATCAGAATATATGTATTATTTGAGATTGAGGTGCCCTTTCATTATAATATATATATATATATATATACGTGCATTTGATTGATATATATATTTTGTAAGGTTATCTATTTTTGATTCTTTCTCAAGTAATTTAAAAACTAGTCCTCACACACGCACACGTGTGCATATATATATATATATATATATATATATATATATATATATATATATATATATATATATATATATATATATACCGTGACTTTAAATAAGATTATATATAGTTATCTTTTGTAACTATATATTATCATTAGTACATAATTATAACATTAAAATTGCTTTTTTTCTCTCCCTCCATGTCAACAGATCATAGGTTCTGAAAAGTGATTGAAGAAAGAGAAAAAATTTTTATATCTAAAGTGGTTGTAGAAATATTTACCTCATATATATATATTGGCTTAATATATTTACATAAATTAATTATATTAAATGTTAACTTAATTTTTTTTTTTTTTTGATAACAATGTTAACTTATTAAGCCAAAGAAACAATACTTAGTAAAAACAAAGAAACAAAACATCTCTTAATTATTAAGCCAATACTTAAATTATTTGATTAATTCAAAAGTTAAATTTGTAGGGCGGCTGGCTAAGTGATTATAAAAGTTTTTAATAGAATATCGAACATTGTATATGGACTATAACAAAAATGATATTTGGATTGGGTGCATGCAGTAATTGTAAGAGATCAGTCATTAATTTAAGAAGAGGTTTGATATTCAAACATTGAAAAGGACAATAAATAAAGGTAAGATAGGTGGTCTTTTTCTCTTTTTTTTTTTAATTTTCTCAATGTATTCCTCAATTGATAGCTGAAGATTATTTTTTTTGAGACGTGGAGATTATCGAAATAAGTTTTGTTTTGACCAACAATTTTTTTTTTCATATATGGCCAGAAATTGAATTCCTGTCAGCATGCTTACGGGACTCAACCATTTACCAATTGTATCAGACTTTATTGGTAATAGTTTGTTTTTAAAGGACCTAATTTATGTCATTTCACCGTCTTATAATTATGTACTTTGAGTAGTACATACTTATAGTATTAAAGTTATACTTTTTTTCATTTTTCATATCAGTCGGCAGTTTCTGAAAAAAGAAAAAAAATATAACATTAATATTATAATTATATATTCCTCAGAGTACATAATTATTAATGGTAAAAGGGCATAATTTAAATTCTTTAAAATGACAAATTATTTTTCGATAAATAAAAAAAGTCTCTTAGTCGTAACAGTATTTAAGAAGTTAATTTTAGTTTAAAAAGAAGAAGAAGTTAATTTTATATCGTAATTCAAGCGGAAAGCTTTATGTTTTATTTTTAGAAAAAAGAAAATGAGAGAAAGTATAATATGATAATTTGGAAACTAAAAGAAAAAGAGTGATGGAAAAAGAAAGGAGTGAATTGATAGAATAGAAGTATCTTTTGACCTGTTCCTTTTGCATGCCTCCTTAATTCCTGTTTACGATACAAAGTACAGAGAGGACATTGAAACAGAAAAAGTATCACCCATTATTATAACCATTTTGCAAAGCAAATCATGTCGCATGCTTCATATCAAAAGTTCTATAGTTTCTGGCCTTATGCATTTTGGAGTTTTCGACTTTCGACACGTAACATTGAGTTTAGCTTTGATTTTTTTGTTTGTTTATTATTCTTTTTGGTATAATACGAATGAACCTTAAACTTTATTTATTTTTGGTGTGAGGTGCTTTTGATTCATATGAGTATGTACTATATATCATTTAAAAATTCAACATCTGATATATTGTTAATTATCATTTTAAGATGTTAACGCATTATATTTCTAAATATGTACAATAAAAAGATCGGACTGTGTAAAAAAAAAAAGGATTAAAAAATCTCAGGTTCGATTTTCATGCGAAACAATTCGAGACCAATAAAAAAATCACTTGTTTAAACTCATTTTAAAATGAAAAGTATTGCTTATCTCTTTTTTTTTTCATTTTTTTATATAAAGTGTTTCTTTTATCACAAAAGATAAAATTATCTACAGTAACTTTAAAATAACATTATTTTGGAGTTTAGAAAAAAAATATAGGGTATCTTAATTTTTTTATATTATATATTTTATTAAATTGCTCTGACTTTCTTTCCTCAAACCTCAAAATAATGTTATTTGTACTTTGAAGTTGCATGAAAAATGTTAATCCTTTTTATATTGGATTTGCTTTTTCTGCAGTTACTGCAGATAAGTTATCTGCAGTAAGCCTAACATGACGTTATTTTGGGACGAAAATCATGATATTTTTGTAATTTTAATTTATTTCAGGGTTATAATAGTCTTTGTATTTATAATTTTTTAAGATTTCAATATCAAAACGACATCGTTTTGAGAATAAATGCAGAAATATTTTTCCCTTTTATATTATACAAAATCTTTAATTTTATTTTATGTGGACCAATTTTTTTTAAAAAAAATACATAATTTATTCAAAAAATAATAAAGTTGGAGTCTTGGAGATCATAGTTTTTTGAAATTTGTTGGATAAATCTTAAAAATCTTTTTGGCAAATGAGTGTGAAAGAACGCGCATGGAGAGGTGTGGGGTTGGGTTGGTAAGTTGGGCACATGGAATCTTACTTTGTCTTAAGCAGTCAAAAAGTACGGCACTTTAATAAAAAAAATAACCGACAAAATTTTAGAGTTATTGCTTTTTACTATTTTCGACAAGCTTGCCATGCCTTCTATATTAGTATATTTGGACTTTGGTTGCTCCAAATCAATGTCTCATTCACAATTTTTTTTTCTTTATTTTGAAATAGTTGCCGTTAATATTTTTTATATAAAAATTTAAATTGTTAAATATTTTAAGTTTCGAAATTGTAATTATTTTTTAACTAAATTATTCTTGTATTTTTTATTTACGTGATATATATACACTAGGTAAAACTGAAAATAAAAAAAGCATGGTATTTTTCTTTTTAGATTTCTAAAATGATAAGAGGTTTTATAAAAAAGGCATTTTACAGTTAAATTTATTTTAATAAAAAATAATAATATTTATTAAATTCTCATAGTTATTATAAACAAGGATTAAAAGTTTTTTAATTATTAATATATTAAATGTTTTATTTTTAATTTGATATTTATATTTTAATTTCATAGCCACCGCTTGGAAAATATTGGTTAATAAATTTCTAAGTATTTGACAGTAGAAATATCGTATATTTTATTATCTATATAGGCTGAGGCCTCTTTTATAAAAAGATCTTCTTCTTTTTTTTTTTTTTTTGGTAAACTAAAAAGATCTTCTTAACTTGCTCAATTTTGTGTCATACGTTTTTTTTTTCCTTTCTAAATCAGCTTGATTTATTTGTAAAACTTTGAATGTCACTACAAGAAAGTAGGTATTTGCAGGCGGTTTGTTTGATATATATAGGCGGTTAAAACCGCCTTTGTTTTCTTCAGTTGGCGGTTTGTAATCCGTCTGTGTTATTACTGTCGCGATGCATTCACAGGCGGTTTAGATAAACCGCTGGAATATCAGCCACTGACATTTCAGGGCGGCCCACGTGACGTCCTATGTCGTCGGAGATGACTTCATCAATGGCATAAAAAATATTTCCAAGCGGTTAGATTAACCGCCAGGTTTAAACATATCGAAGCGTTTTAATTGGCGGTTGATGTCGTCAGACTAATTTCATGAATTGCAATAATAATTATTGCATGCGGTTAGATGAACCGCTAGAACTCAAAATGCAGGCGGGTATGGTGTCCGTTAACTGTGTCGGCAAATTTATTGTACTCGACGGTCTTAATAACCCGCTAGCAATTTGCATAATTTTTTAAAAAAAAATAAAAAATTATTTTGTTTTTATAAGAAATCTTATATTGTAATATGTAATAGTAATTTATGCAAAAGGGATATTTAAGCATTGAGTAGAAGACTACAAAAAAAGGTAAATATGTATTCAATATTGACGTTAGGAGTGAATGACATACATATTGGAGTGCCACTGAATAACCAAAAAAACCAAAAATATAAAACCTATTCCTAGGTAATAAGCAAAACATACCAAGGAAATTCCTAACATCCAAAACAACCCATTCCTAGGTAATAAGCAAAACATACCCAGGAAATTCCTAACATCCAAAACAGAATGAGTCAGTGACATACATATTATTGGGGTGGCACTGAATATACAAAACCACCAAAAATATAAAACCTATTCCTAGGTAATAAGCAAAACATACCTAGGAAATGCTTAACATCAAAAACATGAAAATTTAAAATATAATGTCAAACATCTAATATAGCACTCAGTGCACAAGCAGTGGTTCGGGGAACTTAATATCCACAATACATGTTCCATCAAAAACTTTGAAATGATGTCCAATATTAAGATGCTAGTGGTGTGGGTCCATGATTTGAAGATTCTGGTCCAAGAGAAGGGTTATGACTAGCATTGGAGGACTTTCTAATTCCAGGAGATCCCATGTCAGGAACCTGAAATTTTGGGGGGAAATAAATCATACATTAATCGAAGACAATGTTTACAAAATATTTAGTTCAGGAACAGTAAAAGAATTAGGCAAGAAAACACATGTATGAAAATTGACTTCCTGCCAATTTGAGCTTTAGTGGTTTAAGTTGAGTTCCTACCCCATTTTCATAATTCAGTCCCAAATACCACAACACTGAAAATTGTAACATTCTACCTAATTTCCTAAAGGAGCAATGTTGATTTAGTTGACAAGTGAACAAGCAGTATAAAAACGACAAAGCATCACAGAGTCAAGCAACACACATTAAGAAATGCATGTGATATTCTGAC